TCATGTCAAGTTTGTGCTTTGTAAAGTAGCGAAACACGCTCAACTGCCTTTCGACGCAGTGAAATATACAGCGGAACGATAGCTGGCAGCATGAATCTGTCTGCCGAGCCGTCCAGAAGTACCTCTAATCAGTACACATCGCCACTCTCTTACCTCTAACACGAATAAAACCTACTTACACGGATCAACCCATCACATCTTTTGGTCTCGTCAACTTGATCGTCTCATTTACATCAAATAATGCCTTGTCGCAATTGCCGCCACTCGTGCGTCCGTTTTTTGCGCCATTTTACTCCATTTTCAACTTGGCTCACCGCCGCGTCTCAGGCCACTTCTCTTACAGTTGAAGTAGTCCATTTTGCATATCCACTTCGCTTAACGTTAATGAATGAATCTTTCCATGACCACTCCGCCGCCGCCCCTCGTGCTTCTTTGTCATTTTCACTTCTGCTCTCCAATTCGCAATGGACACCACGGCCACTTTTACGCAGAGCACTTACGATGCAATTTTGCATGCGTACAGTAAGCTCGTGCACGCGAACGACGTGCTACAGAAGCAAGCCGTTGCGCTGACGCACCTCAGTGCGGTGCAAGCAAACCTGGTACGGGCAGCAAATAAAGAGCGCGACGCAGCCATCGAGTCGCGGCTCAAGATGGAGATCGAAGTACTGGCGCTCCGACAGCGCGCCGAAATGGCCGAAGCCACAAGTGCAAGACCGGAGCAGCAGCTTGAGGAGGCCGCTCAAGATCAGCTCAAAGTCCAGCGCGAGCCCGAGTTGCAGCTGGTGCTACAGGAGAAGGACTCTCAAGACAGCAGTGCGGAGGCGACGGGCGAGAACAAGGCACGAATGCAGCCGAAGCAGCGTGAGAAGACAGTCGCAGCGCCCTCCAAGACAAGCACGACACCTCGCAAGAAACCCACAACCGGCCAAGATGAACGCGCTCGTGTGCTTGCAAGTGTCAAGGACGTTGCTATCAGGATGGGCGCTGGACCTACTGCTGGTTCTCGCGCGCGTGTTCGTCCAACGGCTACTGCTCGAGCGCGTGTTGGTGCGACTGCGAGCACGGCGTCCACCCGCGCGCGTGTGGAAGCCACTGCTGCTTTCCGAGCGGCTCTTGCTTCGACTGCCGGACTTGGTGCTTCAAAGATGCTGTCAGCAAAAGAACTGGCGCGCGTGGAGATTGGAGGAAGTCGCGCCGCGCTGGGCAACGGGTGTTAAACCACACACGTTGCCAGGAGAGGGCAACAAGCTTCCGGGATTGGCGCTCCAGAGACCCATTGCTCTCTGTTGCGTCTACCGGAGCTCATCGCTCACCGAAGGCTCCGGATCGTGGTGCGGCCAAGCGTGGCAGCAGACTTTGTTCGAGAACGCGTTTGCGATCTGCTATTCTTCGGGGCTCATTGCCCCCGTTGAAGATGCGGAACGTGGCTTGTTTTTGGACGAAGTTGAGCGTGGTGTGCATTCGTAGTGACTGATGAAGACTCATCACTCTTCGTCGTCATTGCGATCGCTTCCTGCGCGTGCTGTTGATGCGCTTGGCGCCTACGTTCTAGAGCGTATAGGTGTCGATAACCCCATGAAAGACAAGCGAAAACGTAGTTTTTATTGAAGTGAGTAACAAAACAAGTGTATGATTACGATTGCGGTTGGCTTGTTAACGTTCGCCTACTCTTGAGCAAACGTAGCTCCTTCCGTGCTCGTCGATTGCCGTACAGTGTAGTAGCCCATGCTTGAACAAACAAGCAAGCAAAAAACAAATGAGCGCTGTGCTGCGGTATTCGTACTGCTTGCAAGACGTCATAGCAAGGCACGTGCTAGAAGATATGCTTTCTGACAGGTCATCGAAGTTCCAGTGTTCAACTGCAAGACCTGTTACAGGTACGTCGCGATCTCACCTGATTGGCTAATAAGCTGACAGGTAGGACGAAGATGTGACCAGTTAACATATGGTACGAGAAAAAAGGGTCGTCATGTCGGACTATCAGGAGGAGATGATGAGTGAGACAGCGATATCCGGACGACATTGTTTAAGACCAGCAGCACATGGTGATGGGTATGCTAAACGTGTACCAGGTGTAACTTGACTTGATCAAGTGCAAAAGGTATGGTTAACAACCGAGCGTAATTTACTCTCCGTAAATATTACTTTCACTTCCTACGTACTCAGCACAAGTGCGGACATCAAACGTAACGATTCACTGCACGTCATACCGAAAACGGTCGATCAGAGGCGGCCAACGTCGCGTATTGTTGTTGAAGGTGAGGTATATCGAGGAACGTTATCGACTAACAATACCCTCCCAGAGAGATTAAACTATCTGGTGTTGCTATCTATGATGAGTGGAGTCGCTACCGCGTGAGGAGCAGTTCTCCTGGCCACCATTAGCTGTGCTGGCAATGCCCTCTCGCGGGTAGTTTGCATGTTGCGATTATTCGATCCGCGGTCGAGTTCGACTGATGTCTCGAGCCAGTGGTTGACGTCGTGCTGTATGTGATGCGTGATGTCCGTATAGATGTTCCTATCTGTCAGATCGTGAACTTGAAGAGTTGTCTTGGTATTCATCGCAGGGTTCGCTGCGACTTCTGCCATCATATTATATTCCCGGATGTGGTGAGCCCAGCTGGCGACTGATACATCGTCAGCCAATGCTCGCGCTTGTCGGTACAGTGCGGCCAGGTGCGGCTTGCGAGGTGAGCGATACCCCCGGAATTGATTAATTACCATTACATTGTCCCCAATGACATGCAACGGTAGTAATTCGCTGTGTTTTGCCTGCCGTAGGCCTTGAATGAGACCATTATATCCAGCCGAATTGTTTGTAGTCGTCCCCACTCGAAGTGATATACTAGCCATCCAGACGATTGTAGCGGCATGTGTCTGTGGGTGAACACAGACAATGACGCAGCCTGAGCCTCCTGGTCCGGGGTTTACCCGTGAACCACCATTGAAGAATAGCAAATACAGGTTCGTTGCAAAGGCTGGTTGAGCGTTTAGCAGCAGTATTGGGGTCCCAGTGTGTTGTAAAAGGTCATCTGCCAAAGCTGAGCGCATTCTCGCCAGCACTTGTTCAGATGTACCACCGCCAGGTTGGTAGGTGGAGTTCCTGAAGCATGAGAGCGCTCTACGTAGCCTGGATTGGGCTACCGCATGATGGGTCTCCACTGACAGTGTAGGATCCTCGATGCGTCTGAGCCGCTCCAACCATATTGTGTGAAAAGTAATCGACACTACAAAGCGCCATAGTTCGGTTGAAGCTTCATAGCAGGCTTCTCGAGCGTACAGTGTCCTGTCGCACGCATTTAATGAGGCTTGATCGAAAACCCACGCACGTTCTGGAGTACGGGAAAGTTCTAGTGAAAAAATGTTTACCGGTAATTCAGCCTCAGTAAAACGACCAATTCGGCTCCAGACCTCGCAAACGCATCTCCAGCGTCTCTCGGCTACGGCGCATTCCCAGAAAATATGAACAACCGGGGCGTAGTCTGGTGAAGAGCATTCGGGGGCTGGACACGACAGGTTGTTTGCAGATCGGTTCCAGAGTGGAAAACGGTTACACTTGAGTCGGTACAGCGTTTGCGAGACATACGAAGATGTGGCACGGATACGGCGTATATCGCGCCAAAGCACCAGTTCGAGACTGTATGTTACAAGTGCGTAGTTACGGCTTTGAGATCGTTGATCACGCTTGATGATGCCTGCCGTGCGTCGCAACTCAATCAACGCAATTTTCTTAAGTGCCTGAGCACGGGGTTTCCAGCGCCATGTGCCTGTCCATATTTGCGTGATCCGTGTCATAGTCGGGTGGGCTGCACAGTGTACCTGCGCGAAAAGCGCGCGAGAAGCCACCTGGTCACAGTCCACCATGGTATTTACCGGTGTAATTGATTGAGATTTGTTCTTAGTACAGACCGTAAGGTTCTTGCCACTGTCGTTCAAGACACATCTAGTATGGTGGGGTGGTCTCTCCATGTACGATGTAAGTGTACCCGTTGGAACCGAAAGAACTAGTAGCTCAGGAAAATTGTACAACAATGCGTGGCAGAATCCCGCGAATTGGCGAGTCTTAGCGGTATGAATCGTTGTAGTGATCTCCGTTCTTGGTGTGAAGCGCACTTTTCCCGGACATATCCATGTCCGTGTAAGCGCATCTCCGAGTGTGTATTTTCCTGTCGCAAAACTTGCACTCTTGAGGTCGTATTGCACTCCATCTCGGGACAATAGCCAAGAAAGATTTTTGAGCGAGGCATGCTGTAACCATCGCAGGTCTTCTCGACCGAGGTGAGCCACTTCTGTCGCTCTATCTGTGAAAGTGTGAAGGTTCAAGACTTTCGTGGCATCCACTACAACGCTTCCATCGCTGTGAAATGTGTCATGAAATTTGGGTAGAAAGCATTTTGCCCTCCCACTCACACGCTCAGCGATTCCGCCTCGAGCATGTTCAGCCACCGATACACCAACAACGGCCGCTCCAGTTTCCCACAATGTGGGCTTGATGCGGATTGATACTGTTCCAGACCAATTTGGGGTAATGTAAATGGATCGGGTCTTGCCTCCCCCCCATAAGGCCTCTTCAATAAGGCGATCAAGGTATCCGGATGAAGCTGCCCATTTCCCAACAGTTTTTGCAGCCATCGTGATCAGCTCAGTCGTAATACATGGTGCCGCAAGCCCCCCCTGCGCGATCGGTAGTTCTGTTTGTTCAGCAGGGACTCATGGTCTGTTCCTTTTTCCGTCTTGGGTGCCCCAGATAAAATCTTTAATTAGCTTGAGCTGTCGGTATAGTGGAGACTTACAGCAATCCACGTCTTTCTTTATCAGGCCGAAACGATGAACATACCACTTGCCTTTCACTAGGTGTACCTCCATTGTCCGTACACATGGTGCTTGTAGAAATTCTAGATCCATGACTCAGCTTCGTTTGTCATGTTGCTGAATATCGAGTCTCTTCTATCTTGTATCCTACAACATTGTCTATCGCCAACCTTTGCAGAGTTCGTCTATGCACGTGTCGTAGCGAGCAAAATCCAAGCACCCGGACATCTACTTGTTCTTGGCCGCTTGCGCCTTTTGTGCTCGCTCATCAGCTTCTCCTGCATGTCACGCATGACAATGCCATGTGTCTTGCACTCCATCGTGAACTTGCCCTTGCCCTGAGTGGATGACCGCAAATCCGTCGAGAAACCAAACATGTTTTGCAGGGGTACGTCGCACTTAATGACCGTGTGCATGTCATCGGCATCGCTGCTGTTAATGAGACCGCGACGACGGTTCACCTCGGCAATGGCCGTACCTTGGAACTCTCTAATTACTTCCACCTCCACCGCAATGACGGGCTCGACCCCAGATAACCCACACCACCGCTTCTCGTCACCTGCACTCGACATGCATCGCATCCTGTGTCTCCTTCTGCTCCTCGTCAGCCAAACACCATCCGCGTCTTCGCGACACAATCCGGTTCGTCCGGTTTGTCGCCGCCGCCGGGTCATTCGTGCCTGCTACGATGCCTTGGGCCACCTGGAGCTTGCCCGCGTAGTAGACTTGCCATAGCCGCACGAAGACCACACTGTCAACCACGAGCAAAAGAGCCAAACGCGTTCGCCGTAAGGTGGCAGCAGTATGGTCCCAGCCGCTATACTCGGGGACACTCATCTTGACCATGACGTACAACTGGATCATGACGAAAAATCCAAACAATATGGCAGACACGTAGTTCCACGTATTCGTCGCGTTCTCGTGCTCTAGACACGAACGAGTGCCACGAGCTGACTGACCAGCAGCGTAGAGAAGAAAAGCACACTCGCGTTTTCGTCCACGACGTCTTCTGACCTGCACCCGTGTTTTCCCTTGACTTGTACTTCCCCGTCACGCGCGCCTGGACGGCCTCAAAACTGCCATTATCGAAATGAACGACAACGAAGACCATGCCTGCCTGCGCACGCTTCTTGCAGTTGTTGCCGACTGCGCGGTTGGCCAGCAGAATCAGCACCCAACGGCAGAACGCCACGGGCCAGAGAGTGTACACGGCAGGTTCAGCACTCAACGGCAGAACGGCACGGGCAAGAAAGAGTACAGGATATTCGTTACACGAACGTAGATCGGCGCGTTTCCCATGCAAGAATAGAAAATAGCGATTGCCACGTAGCACAGGGCAGGCACACCGTACCATACGGGTGCATAACCAAATCGTGAGATTAAGCTTGCGCTGGGAACGTAACATGCGGCTTCGGGTCCGGGTACGGGCAGGCACACGCGGTGGACGCTAGTCCGAGTCGACTTCGCTCTCATTTTGCATCAGCAGAATCTACACAGCTCCCTTTGTCCTACGCTTCTTCCAGTCGATAGCAGTAGTCATTGTCTCAGAAAAAGCACCTTCGCACAATCAAAATACGGTCATTGGCATCTCCCTCGAAATCCGTGCTTAGGCATACCGGGTCCCAACCAGAAGTGTGGACCACATTACTCGTGAACGCATCATTAGTCTGAGTACCGCACCGTACTGACTGCCACCAATCGAGTCAAAGGCTCGGCGATAGAACACAGCATTTGACCAACAAAAGCTGCCGGGTCGAAACCATCGCGACCAGCTGCACACAGCGTCGAAGACAATGGCGTTTTTTTGCCCGCACGGATCACCCATGATCGTACACTGGGGCATGCTCTCAAAGTACTGAATAGTCTGCACGAAAGCCACTTGGGTCCGCGAAATATCGTTTCTGTACTGGCGTCGTCCACCGTCGATGGCCTCGCCTTCCAAGAAGACCAACGACAGCACCGCAAGCAAAAACTTCGGATGCGGCTTCATGTCGTTGTCCAGACTTAGCGCATACGTGCCGTCAGCACCTTCGTTGAGCAAACGATTGTTCATGTTGTCTGCCTTCGAGTGGTGCGTCTCGAGTTCATTCATCCATTCAAGTCACACGCGGATATCCCCGCTCACAGAAGTCGAAGTCATCCGAAAGCAACGACAGCACAACCACCACGCTGCACACTCTTACCATCCTCTTTGCGAAGTCCACATACGGAGCTGTGCTGCCGACGCCTCTTCTTCAAGCTTTGGTCGTCTTGATCAGGCCCACCACACGCTCGTGCGTGAGTCGCGCAAGATTGCCGCGCAAGTCACCACATATCTCAATCACATTGCTGTTCATCGTCACCTTCAAGTGGTCGTTCGCGTCCCACGCAGACCCAGTGTTGCCGTCATTCAGCACAAACACGTGGACGAGCTCGGGTGCATACTGCAGCGAAAGACAGATCTTCACTGTCTGCATCAAACCCGCGACCGGTTCCACGTAGTGATACAAAAAGATGCCGACCGTCGGCCGCTGTTCCTTGAGAATAGGCGGCTTGAAGTCGTACATGCACCGCGCACCACCACGAGTCGGACGCCACATACTGAAGTCGGACAGCAGTCCCAAAAACAAAGTGAGACACTCGCTGAAAACCATCATGGTGTACATGACCCACGATATAAACGGCACGTTCCGGATACAGTATCCATAGCCCGAGTCTGCGTCAAAATGGACCCTTCGAGCTAAAACGCCCGTCCGTCTCACTAGCTGGCACCGTTTGTGTCACACGGTAGCGTCGGCCGCGCCTGGTCACAAAAGTACGCAATCGAGTACGTCAACGTGGCGACCAACCGAAACGACGGCTCGTGGTAGTTGCGGACCCCTGCAATCGAGTCGCAGTATTCCCCATCTTGCCGTCCAGGCCGTGCACGCCACAGTCCATCAAGCGGACACGGCTGCCACTGCCCTTCATGCTCGCACCGCCTTCTTCGCGTGCTTCGGGTCCACAAACGCCATTGTGCTGAGGCACGTGCGACGTACCACTTGCTGCCACTGCTCCGACGATTGGATCTTGCTGTTCATCGCACCTGACAGTATCTTCTCCTGCGACATGCGCACGTCCGTGTTCGCGTCTCGTGACGGCGTCGCTTCGCCGCATTCCGTGCAAACGCAGTGCCACTGTCCACCGTCTCAATGCACTTCTCGCACACACGAACGTCTGCGCGCCCGCGTCCATCCCCCGAAGCGCCGCCGGGCCGTCGTGAGGGATCCACTGGTAGGCCGCGTCCGACCGAACAGCGCTCGAGGCCGTGCGCCGCGCAACGCGGTAGGCCGCCAGTGAGCCGCCGCAAGTGGCCGAGAGGACGACGCACTGCATGCGGTGAACGGCTCTCGAGCAGACGGCAGTGGGGCGGGAGAGACCCCACGAGGAGCGCCCGCAGAGCGCCCGCGCCGCCGTCTGCTGCGAAGGCGACCGACCGCTCGTTCGCGTCGGTCGGCCGCGTGAAAACGCGCGCGAACGAGCGCAGCGACACATCCCGTCCTGTGATTCGACGAAAACAAGCACACAAACGCACCAATCACAACGCTTCGAAACAAAAGCGCGCTCTTCGTACCACTGTCCGCCGTCTTTGTTCACGTGGCTGTGTCGACTTTGCAAACATAAAACGAGTCGATCGTCTGCGATGATCATGAACAAACACTTGTGCGACTTCAAAGCTTTGGTAGATCGTTCCCAGTCAACGATCAAAGGGCTCAAACTGCACGTCGGTCCATTAAGACACTGCGTCCTATCCAGCTCTTTACTATCCGCAAGTGGCGCTCCGACACGTTCGCTTCAGCATTCCTTGACCTTTTCTCGTTCGAGTTCGTCTGCATGTCGTCTGCTTGACGACCCCGGAGTTGTTGGAGCTGCTGCAATGCTGCGTACGCTGCTAGACAATAACGCAACTGTTCTTGTCGCTCCACAACAAGTCGACTCGAGCATCAATGCTCGTTCGCAGATCGCTGGACGGATGCTCGAAAGATGAAATGGCACGCCCGAGCGCGAACAGATTCACAGCGGTCGGTTCGAAGAACAACTTGCAGCATGTAAAACAGGTCATCAACGGCGTCACACGCGACTTCTATTCACACGCCGCTATGGACACTGCTTTGTGCCTCGCACGTATCTCCATGCATCAAATGCAGCTCAAACATCGCCACTGTCCTTTCAAACAGCCCTCAGCCACAGCAAACTCGTGTGGCAATCGCAGCCTGAACAATTGGCCAGCACGTATCACGTGGTTGTCCTCCCGTATGCTATCCAACGTCTATTGTTTCTCCATGAGGATCGATGCCCTCGATCATGCCACTGCTTTCATCCTAGTGACCTTCATCGTCGTCGTCTACGTCTCCATATTCGTCGACGTTTGATCCTCCCGCAATCGCTGGCCACTTGTTTGTAGCACTGTCTGCGCCACCTCGTCGAACTTGCACTCAGAAGCGTCTGGTCGCATCCGAGCTGCCTCATTCGTCCTGCACCTTGCACCAACTTGTCCTTCGTGAGGTTTTGGTGCAAGTGTTATACCAGCGGATGCATCTTGTAGTAGCTTCATGTCTGACCCTCGCGAGCGCGCTTCGTCAAAACTGGCATACGTCTCCTTCTCCAGCAGCGAAGACTTTTCCACGGACAACGTCATCCTCCAAGCCTCCTCGACGATCATCCAGCAGCTGCGCCCTTTTCGGCCATCAAAGTACATCGCGCCAGCAACTACAAAGCCGGGCTGCTTATGAACACGATCCGCTGCTCCGTTATTTGTCGCACCGCTAGAAACGCACCAGTGTCGACCAGACTCTGTGCTTTCTTGTCCAAGGCGAACAAAACCGGCTTCTGCCATGGCGTCGGTTCGCGGATCGATCGGACCAGGAACAATCACCTCCTAGCAGTGCGTCACTTGCAAGATCTAGTCAACCGCTTTTCCGTTTTTGCTTCGTAGTGACGGCTCCTTCGGCTCTTGTTGCGCCACTGACAGCGGAAGCAAACGATGATTGTCGTTCGTTCCTGAAAATCCGATCGTATTGCCTCCTCCAGCAAGATTCCACGCTGTCCGGGGACAATTGTTGCGGATACTGCTGTGTATAGGTTGGAAACACGCAGGTGTTCGGGTAAACGTTTATTGATTCCATGCAGTAGTGGTAGACTCGACACAACGTCTCGAACTGTCGAATGTCGGTAAGACAGATGTGCCACACATTGCACAGAGCCATTCGGTCATTGCCATCCGGTCATTGCCATTTAATCCTTGCTCGATACTAGTAAAAAGAGCCATCCATCGTACTGATGTTCCTGCTCCGAGATGTCCAAGCTGATGAGCACAGGGAGAGGTATGCGTTGGACACAGGCACTTACTTCGGTTGACTGTACTGCGTCGCTCGCACATTGTACAAAGTCAGCTGGAAGTATCACACGTTATGCTTCCTACAACACATGCGACACAGAGTGTCACGTAACTTTGTTTGGAATACAGTGCTCGACTCGAGTCTAGAAACGCTAACGCGAATGCTTCACTGCAGATGCGGGATCTCCGAATACAACTTCTGCGTCTACGGTCGTCTATCAGCACCTTGTAGTATGTAGATGGCAGCGTGAGAACGTACATTGGAATCAACCACTAGCAGCCAGACTCGACTAATGCAGTCATCACGCCGTTTTCTTGATCAAGTGTTTGCTGACTCGCGCAACAGTGTGCGTTGACTATCATGATATAATGATCACTTTTATCGAGAAGCAAGTGCTTGTAACGGGGCAGCCCGTTACATGAAAATGTCACTTTAAAGGAAAGTGACAACAAAGAATATTAAGTGAATATTCCTTGAACAATATCACCGATAATGGTGATATTGGTGAAGCGACCAAAGGGTCTGCTCATTGGTTGATATCGTGATGATATCAACCCACCCTTTGCCGCAGAACGCGCGCAATGAGTGGTGACGAGACGTCACCATACACTCAGTTATATTAACATAATTAAGTCAGGTTAAACAGAGAGACAGTAGCAAAAAGACTTAATTATATTAATACAACAGTTTTAATTTCTCCTTATCCTACGCTTCCTCATTCGCCTCGTGTACGTCTGTCGGGGCACCCGAAACCCTTGCTTTAAGTTCACGCAAGAATGTGCCCCGTTACACCTGGTAGCACTTTGTAGTCCTTCAAAGGACCACAACATCCAATATGAGCATGTTGGATGATGAAGAGACCTTTCACGCCACGCGTGAAGGGTTTACCCATTTGAGTGACATCGAATGGGGTGCGGTAGAACGAATGAGCTCTACCGTAGACGAGTTCGCCATTAGCGCCATGTTAAGGTCTCTAGATAGAGACCAACAACATGCCGCTATAGCCAAGTTCATCCAAAGTGAATTTGTCGCCGAAAGGGAGAAAGTAGCATTGCTTCACCAGCAAGGCTCTCAACAGGCCAAGCACTTGAGAGAACTTGGAGCTCAACAGACAGAGCTGTTGAGACAGCAGCAATTCCATGCTGCTGTGGGCGGGACGGCACATGCGCATCGTCCCGAGGTCATGAAGGTTGACATCTCCAAGTACAGTGAAGTCCCGGAGGACTCCCTGTTACTATGGTTTGTCGAACTCGACAGAGCCTTAAGGGCTCGTCGCGTCGAAGATGAGCAAATGAAACTCACATTTGCTCAGACCCACTTGGCAGGGCGTGCCAAAACTTGGTCTCTGGGGCTCGAGAGTAGCGACCCAAATGTGTTTAGGTCGCTAGATGACTTCAAGTCCCGGCTCAGACAAACGTTTGAGCCGCCACGAGATGAGTTCAGGGCTCCTTCTGAGCTCCTGAAACTCAAGCAGGGTAAGCGTGATGTGCACGCTTACGCACAACATATACGACTCCTAGCGAGTAGTATAACGGCTAACCCAGTTCATGAACACACGTTGATTACGGTGTTCATGCAAGGGCTCTCAGAAGGGCCCGTCAGGAGCCACCTGTTGCGCCTTGAGCTGAATACGCTTGAAGAAGCGATATCAGCCGCGGAACAGGAAGACTTTAGCATGAGACAGGCTCATGCTAGCTCAAACTCTTACCGTCCACCGAGACGACAAGAGATCGGAGGTCCAGAACCAATGAACCTCTGCTATGTTGAGAGCGATAGATCTCGCTCTTCGAACAACAAGCGATTGTAGAGGTGCAATCGCCGTCAGAAGTTAGGGCACTACGCATACGAGTGTAGTGCTCCGCGCCCAGTACCAAACAGTACTGAGCGAAATGGACAACCATTTGCCAGAAAGGCCAATGGGCGTGGATCCAGCGCTGTTGCGAAGCCGCAACAGCGAGACGGACCATCAAAAAATGGTCGGGGTTTGTAGGGGCGGAGCGCCCTAATGATCCAGCAACCTCAAGAGAATTCGCAAATCTCTCTCGAAAAAAGTTGGTCCAGATACACAATCATTGTGTGTCTCTGCACCTGGTGATGACGTTTCGCTCATCATCTTGAAGTTGAAAGCGAAAAATGATTTGTCGCTTCGTGCCCTAGTAGACTGTGGGACGTCGAACAACTTTGTTCGACGCCAGTCACTAGAGGGTCGTAGGCTCAAGTTCGATGAGCGCGACTTTCTTATCACGAGGATGACGGTGCGCCTTGCAACAGGCGCATCAATTTCCGGTAAGAAACGTGTAGTATGAATCCACTACACGTTGGAGGGCGAACAGTACGATGATGACTTCCTCGTACTGGATCTGGATGACAAATTTGATAATATCCTGGGATTAACATGGCTCAGAAAGTACGATCCAAGGGTGAGCTGGCAGCATCGATCCGTGAGGATGCCTGCCACTTGTTCATCAGATTGCCATCTGATGAACATCTTGGAGCGTCCACAAGCGTGTGGATGTTCTGCGGGTGAGTGAGATGGCCTCACTTGCGGTTCGGCCGTTAGCACGACTGCACAAGATCACAGTGTAGTTGATTACTACACTGTGGAGCAAGCTCCCGGTGGCTGTACAGAAGCACAGGCTGCGCCGAAGGTCCACCACTCGAATACGTCTAGTGGACCGGGACATGGATGCATGCCTAGCGGGCAGCATATTAGACAGAAGAAATCTGTTTCCCCCAAAGGTCAACATGGAAATCCTAGGTCGACTGGAGGGTCGACCGTAGAGGATCGGTCCCTGACTGTGGTTGCACAGCCAAAGTCAGAAGACGTCGAGGAAATAAGTCCCCACGTACTTGAGGAAGGAATTCCTCAAGAGTCACTTGCTGAAGGATTAGGCCTTCAGCAATATGTGAAAAGAAGTTCCCAGGAAGTAACCGAGACGTTGAACGTCTTGGTCAATGACGGATCAAGTATGGGCGCTTATACGCTTGATCTGATTG